AAAATTAATTCCAGTAACTTCTGTAGATCATTTAATAATTCTTTGTAGATCAACTTTTCAATAGTGAATTTTTGGCCGGTAACAATGTAGATATTTATCTCATTATTTTCTTTTTAGCAAAATAGCTCATATTTATTATGGTTAAAATAAACAACAAGAAATCTCCCTTTACTCGTTATAGAGCTTTAATTCGTCAAAAAGAATATAATAGTCAAAGAGTTTTTGAAGGTGAGATGGGTAGACTTAAGAATGGTCCTAAATTGGGTAACTGGATATATGGAATGCATCTTAGCACAGGCTTTGCCTGAGCTTGATGGAATATACAACCTATCTGTCGTCTGAAGGAGTGTGACAGTATGTTCGACCTCACTTAGTTTGACTGCAGCATTCTAACATTTTTGCATAAAGCATAGGTTTTCGTCAAGATACTTCTTTGGTAGAGACTCGTCAGAAAAATTTGGAATTATGTCAAGAAAACTTGGATATGAAAGTGATGGTGAAAATGGTTGTGAAAGTGGTGAATGTGGTGGTGAAATTGGTGGTGAAATTGGTAGTGTAAATGGTATTTATAACTGTGTTTAAATAATATTAAAAATAGTTCAGTATATAAAATTGCAGTTGCTTTATAACTAAGCTGTATATGAGAATATTTGATGAATTTTTATTTAATGGATTTTTATTAACTCTAATTTCGAATTAATAATTTTGTTGAAAATAAGTGGTCTTTCCATACTTCCAAATCCAGAACAAAACAAGCAAAAAAAGTAAAGGTATAAGACGAAATGCAAAGCAAAAGGCTGAGTACGGGGAAATTTAAAAAAAAAGTAATATTGATTTCATATGATTTTGCGCTTCATTGCTGCGCATCTCAAATTTCTATTTTTGATTGGTTGAAATAAGTAATTATCTGATTGGGTTGATTATTGATTGTGGCGTAGATATGTGGCGAGTCACGTGATTCGGCGTAACCTGACACACATTTTAGTGACACTGGTAAAAAATTTGATATAACTATATTTTTTCTTTACATGCATAGTAAAATTCAAAAAGAAAAAAAAATTGACATTTAAATTAACAAACATTTCCGTTGATTTATAATAAATAAAATAAATAAATGTCCCCAAAATTTAAATTCCATAAGTCGCAATATATTGGATAATAATGAAAGTCATTGCGTAAGAAATTTCCAAATTACTACTTTATAGAAAATCCTCAGGTAAAATCTATATAAGCATATTGGAAACCAGATAATTCAACTTATAATAAAACACCATTATTAAATAAAAAGAATGTGAATTATGAAATATTATATATACTAAAGTGTTTATTAATGAAAAAAAGGGAAATATGAAGGTCAGACACTAAATAAATGTAGTAATGTGTGATATGTTAATGATAAATTAAAAACTCTTTCTGTGAATAATGTCGGGATCTTCTTGGAATTCCTCAGCCGAAACCCACATCTATTAAAAATAATATCATCGTTAATTGTTGATTCTTGAAAAAAAGTCGTCGCTGTAAGCAGAAACTTCTTTTTTTAAAAAATGCGAACCTTTTTAAATGTACTCAAAGCTGCCAATATAGAACCACCAATCCATGTACTATATTTTCTTTCTGGTGGTGCAAAAATCTTAATCTTAATGTCCTTGACTGCCAATTTTCTTATTTCACTCAACAACCTTGTACCGAAATCTTTTTTAAACAAAGAGGTTAATTTCACATTAAATATATCAGAGAATTTTTTTTCTCCCATTAAAAATATATATATATGTGTAATAAAGGTTACCTTTATAAAGTGTCGAACCACCGGATAAGACAACGTTGGCAAACAAATTTTTCCTTAAATCTAAATCTGTACGATTAATTGAATCGACGACAACTTGATGAATACCGGCATACTCAAGTCCGATCAATTCGGGATTAAATAAAATTTCTGGAGCCTTGAATCTTTCAGATCCCAACTATTAAATAAATAAAAATATTAAAACAATTGATATTAATCTCAATTTAAACATACGAAATAAATTCCTTACCTTAACAACGTTGCCATCGGGCAAAGGAAAGTCATCAAATTTTCCATTCGTATCCTTTTCTTCCTTAATTGGAGATAATGCAATATAACAAGTCTTCTCTTTGATAATACGGACAACTTCTTTTTCAGCAGTTGTTGTAAATTTATAACCTGATTTACGAAGTAGTAACTGCAAATATTCTGTGACATCCCTATAAGAACGAGAATAGTTTAAAATTAATATTAAAAATTTTAAAAATAACGTATGAGATATCTTAGATATATACCTTCCGGCGATATCGACTCGACGAATAGCGTTAGGAAGAGCGAATCCTTCGTAAACCGGTACAGCGTGAGTTACACCATCACCTGAATCGAGAACGATACCAGTGGTTCGTCCAGATGAATAACTAGGAATGAACAAATAACAATTACAACACAGTTTAAATATATTTTCTAATTGATCGATTCATTATTCTTATGCTTACAGACTCAACACTGCTTGAATCGATGCGAATAAAGCTGGAACATTAAATGTCTCAAAAAACATTTGAGCAGCTTGTTCTCTATTATTTCTAGGGTTAAGTGGTGCCTCAGTCAAAAGTACTGGATGCTATTAAGAGAGAATCAATCTTAAATATCATAATTAAGAGTGATAAAATGAAGTTTACAGAACACGTGAATGTTTTTATACATACCTCTTCAGACGCAGTTTTTAATTCTTCCTCGTAAATATGTTTCCATATACGTTCCATATCATCCCAATCAGACACAATACCATGTTCAATAGGGTATCTTATTTTGAGAAGGCCTCGTAATTCTTGAGCTTTACGCCCAATAAAAAGATCACCTTCCACTCCACCCGCCATGATTCGAACGTGTTTAGGTCGTCCAACGCTATTTATTTTTTTTTATCCAAAACTTATTAGTGGGTAGACTTAATAAATACGACCGATGTATAAAGTAGAGTACTCACTATGAAGGGAAAAAACATTTTGGTTGGTCATCACCAGCAAACCCGGCTTTAATGACACCTGACCCCTAAAAATAAAAAAGATATTAGTAGTTGTTGGTGTAAAGTGAAAGGGTAAACAAAAAAAAAATACATACATTATCGATGACAACAGGCTGATTAGTCAAAACGTCCTCATATTCCATCATTCTAGTAATATGTATGTTCAGTAGTAAATTACGATAATAACCGACGTTGAGAGAACACTTCAGTTTTTTGATGAAGTCTGCTGATTTTGTTAAGGTAGCAACTCATGTAACCGCTGATCTGGTTGTTGAATAACACATGTTGTGCAGACTAATTTAACCAATCATAAATGATGTGCAAACTGCGCCAAACATTATCGATTGATTTTAAAATTTCCGAAAATTTCCGTGAATTTCAGTGTGTTTTGTCACATAATTTTTTTGGCGTCATTTCATTGTTTTTTTTTTTTTTTTTTTTTTTTTTTTTTTTTGTTTGTAATTTATTATAAAAAAAAATTCAAATTGAAATGCCTTCTCCACCAAAACCTTGGGAAAGAACTGGAACGGCCACGAGGACTGCAACAAACGGTGGATCGCCATTAATAAATACGACGACACAACAAACTTTAGCTGGTACATCAACAACTTCTAACATACCTCCTGCTGTTCCAGCAAGACCTTCCACAATGTCTTCCGGATTCGCGAACAGAGGTAAATGATTTAAATGATTTAACAAATTTTTGCTTCATTGAATAGATCTTTGAATTAAATTCAAAAATATCAAAACTCAGTATCTTTATTTTATTTTTTAACATAAAAAGGTTATAATTCTTATGGTCCAGGTGGGGCGGGGGCGTATGGTGGTACGACTAGCGGAGGATATAGTCCGTATACAAATAATTATGGATCATATGGAGGAGGATATGGGACACCGTATAGCCGCTACGGATCATCAACGTATTCTCCATATAACCGATACAGCGGCTATAATTCCTATAATTCATATGGTGGATCTTATGGTTCATATGGTTCGTACGGTTCGCCATATAATCGGTTTGGGTATATGATGGGACCAGGTGGTCCGGGTGTAGGTCCGGGTGGACCGGGTGGACCTGAAGAGATGTCATTAACTCAAAGGATGGAAGCGAACACAGCAGCAGGATTTCATATGATAGAATCCGTGGTAGGAGCATTTGGTGGATTTTCCCAAATGTTGGAATCTACATTCTTTGCAACACATTCATCATTTATGGCAATGGTCGGTGTAGTAGAGCAATTTGGGAACCTGCGTAATTACTTGGGACAAGTATTAAGTGTATTCGCCTTAATTAGATGGATACGACATTTGTGGTATAAGATTACGGGAAAAAGACCTCCAGTTAATCCAGGTGAATTAACTCCGGGTAATTTTCAACAATATCAAGAAGTTTCAAAACTTTCTCGTCGCCCTATATTATTTTTTGTACTCGCAGTGTTCGGTGTACCTTATTTAATGCACAGGTTTATTCAAGTTATATCAAGAAGGCGTCAAGAACAACAATTATTAGATGGTAGTATACCACCTGAGGGTGCTGGTAATAATTCGGAAATTATTACCACTCCTGTATCTCAAACAAATTCTTCTCAACCACAAAACTTTGAATTTTGTAGAGCTATTTATGATTTTAAAGGCGAACCAAATGTTGAATTAAGTTTTATTAAAGGTGATATCATCGCCATTTTAAGTAAAACGGATTTATGGGGAAATCCTTCACAATGGTGGAGAGGCAGATTAAGAAATGGTGAACAGGGAATGTTTCCATCAAATTATATTGAAATAATTAATAAAGGGGGAAATGCTGAAAGCGGCAAAGATATACAAGGATTATTACCTTCCTCCAATAATTATAATAATTATGATGATAAAAATAATGTAAACATTAATAATGAGGAGGGGAAATTGAATGTTGAAGAATTCGAAAATAATTTGAGAACCACTTCCTCTTGATATGATTGACGATATTTAATTCTTTTTATTTCCCTCAAAGACATTCAAATTATATACATTTTTTATTATATACACAGGATACAAATATGTAATTATAGTAATGATACTGCTTTTATACAATATATCTTAAAATGTACTAAAAATAATAAATAAAATTTTCTAGGCTTTGACATAATCGAATAACAGTTTCTTGGACCTTTATTATTACAATGATTGATTTATACAAATTTATCTTGACGGTTAAGAATGATTCGTTTTCATTTGACTTGTCAATAAATAATCCTAATCCCAAATAAAACTTATTATGATTTTAATGCACAATCATCTTGTAATTGAAGGAGTCTCCAAAAGATCCTTAAAATCAAGTAAATGTATAGATTGTCCCATATTTGGATTTATTGCAATCTTTTCAATAAATCCCGCTAAATAAAAAAAAAATTAATATTTACCGATTTGAAATTTTAAAGGAAAAAATTATTATTAAAAATAATCACTTATCATACCTTTTTTACTACTTTTAATACCTTGATCTTTACCAATTCTATCTATCTCTCTCAAAACAACTTGAATATTATCTGTATTTGCTATAAATTAGATTTTGACCTAAAAAATATTTAAAATCATTAAGCGGATAAAAATATTAACCTTGTATTTCCTTGGTAGACCAAGAAACCTTTCCAATTCCTGTAAAAAAAAAAAAAAAAAAAATTTAATAATATAATAAAGAAAAGATAATAAAAATAAGAAAAGGTATTAAAGTACCTAAACCAAGTTGATCCTCAACTTACCAGTATGAACCCAACCAAGTTTATCACTATTAAAACTATGTTTATCGTCCATTCTTTGTATAGTACCAGCAATATCATCGGTAACTGTACCCCTTTTTGCCATAGGCATTAACATTTTTGGTCCTAAGATTCTAGCAATTTTTGTTACTGAAGGATATAACTCCGGTGTTGATAAACATTTATCAATATTTCCAATATTAAAAGTTCCTTCCGTAATCTATCATTTAGATTATTTTGAATAACAAATCATCCCCTTGAATGGAAAAAAAATTTTTTTTTTGGAAATATTAATACCTCCGCGATTAATTCTTCGGCACCAACTACATGTGCTCCAGCAGCCTTGGCTTCTTCCGCTTTCGTACCCTATAATTTTTTTTAAAAAAAAAAAAATCTGAGGAAATGTTCTATCAGATAAACTATTATGTACAAAGTTCATTCACCTTTGCGAAAACCATCCATGATACTTTTTTAGCTATCGATTTTGGTAAAGATATAGAGCCTCTAATTGGCGCCTTTCCCTTTTCTAATTTAGTTTTTACGTGTAATTCTAAAGTCCTATTCGGATAAGTTGTTTCATGTGCCTGATTATGATTTAGAGAAAAGAACTTTTTAAAAAAAGATTATATTTAAATTAAAACGTATCAAGATTTGTTTTATACCTTGAGTACATTAACTGCATCAACTAAAGGAATGGCCGTTGCTGTCATGATCTTTTCTTTTTTCCTTTTCTTTGATTTGGAAGCATACTCTCTTACTTGTGGACGTGACTAAAAAAAATGTATAAAATATTTATCTAAAGGTCATTTTACCAATAGTTTTTTTTTTATTTGTCAACTCACCACTATAATACATTCTGAGAAGCAAAATGGCTTAACATTTATAAAAGAATTTTTTACAGTGATAAAATTTGACCGTGGAAAGCATAATTTTAAATACATATTTTGGTGGAAGAGTTTTAAATCGGGATTCGATTTATTCAATCATTTGACCGCGAATTTTGGCCGATCGCCAAGATCATTCCCCAATTCGCTGATTCGTTAAAAGTAGTCCGGTGTTTTTCCATATATGGCATTGCCAAAATTATCAATGATCGACATTCTAGAAATCTGATCGACATTCCGTAATACAGAATTTTATTGGCTGTAAATCATCATATAATGCATAATGCTTGCAGTAATTTTACAATGATTTAATAAAATTTTAACAAAGCTTCTGTTACAATTTCGAGTTCAAAACAAAGATATTTCTCTATATCTTATGCACAAATAAATCTCTAAATGTGCTAAAGAAGAGAGGAAAAAAATTTTTTGGTCAAAGTTACTTTAAAGAGTATTAGAATTTTTAAATAACAATAATGTTTAGCAAATTGTTACGAAATCAGAAACCTTATTTATATATGCTGTTACCAGGAATAATTTTTTCTTAGTACTTCACATAATTTGTCTAAGTTCCTTTGCTGCAGTAAGTAACTTCCTTAACATTGGATTTTATAACCTTAAGGAATCTCTCGTCTTACTGGTATCCAGAATTCCTTGAAATTATTTCACTTGGTTTATGAATTTAAAGGTTTAGGGACTTAGGAAATTTAGAGAATTTATTTATTCTAAGAAACGAACTCAATCACAAGTTATTGAACAAAGCTTGTCATCTCTATGTGGTATTCAGGATTAACAGATATAAGTTAATCTATATCTGACTAAAAGCAAGCATAACTTTATAACTATAATTCATAGTTATTTATTTAAATTTATTTGTTTTACGTTTCAATATTTCAAATTATTATCATATACTGAATTTGAATATGATATTTGATATTAGTAAAAACTAAAGATGGTACAGCAATTGATTTCAAATTTACAAAATGTTGCAACATAAGCTAAAATTAGTTGCAACATATATAGGTTAAAACCAATTGCAACGTAAGTTGTAACATTAAAAGTTGCAACATATTAATTACAGTTCCCATCTTTAGTAAAAACGTTACTGAATTTTTCATTATAACAAATTGTGACCTTCAGAAATGAAGGTTTGTTATAGTGAGATTCAACTATAGTAATAAAATAGCTTGCTAATAAATAATTTAAATAATAAATTGATAAATTTTGAATGTGATTATATGCGATATTTTTTAAATATAAGGTTTTTAAGAATAAATGTGATGGTGACTATAGACAGAAAGTGACTGTATAAAGTAGATTTTATATATATAATTTCAGGACAGTTGACTGGTATGATTATATAAGTAAATGTGATTATAACAGAGGTGATTATAGGGAAAGTTGATTGTATAAACAATAGTAACAAAGATTGTATAATTAAATATAACATTAAACTCTTTAATAAAACACATTTATTTTATTCTTAATAAAATTTATTTTCATTTATTTTTCTATTATATTTATGTAATCTACTTATATATAATGTTATAATGATTCATTAAGTTCTTATACTTAAAAATATTATGTAATTCCGAGAATTTGTTGATTAAAATTTACATTTTATTCTAATATCATCAAAAATTAAAATGCAATAAAAATCAAAATTTTATTAACTAATTCTCAATATCCCATTTTTCTAGCAAATGATAATATTATATAAGTAAATTTGATTAAAAAAATCATTCATTATTTATATCTTTACATTAAATTAGATAATAAATTTTTTTTATTTAGTAATAATGATAAATTTTTCATGCCTTCTTGAAAACAGAGAATTGTGAATAATTACAAAAAAAAAGAAAAAAATGCAAATTTCAAAAGGGTATATTAATTAAAAAGAAACCTTACACGACTCAACAAGGTTAAATGCAAGCAATTGAGTTGAAATAACGGCGAGAAATAGACTACTAAAAGAATGACCATAAATAAGCAAAATCGGTCAAGCCATTATAACGGATACATCTACAAATTTTAACTTATTTATATGCAATAAAAAACGTCATTCCCGATTACGTTTTTTCCGCCCACGTTATTCAAGTACAAATTCATTTATATTTTCTAAACAGCATAACATTTTGTACAATTCTCAATTGTACAGTATCTAATTGAGTTAATATTTGTTCCAATTCCTGTAATTTCTTTCTTTCGGTTTCATTAAGCAAGAGAATATTGGAACTCCTATTTAACTGCCTTAATGCGTCCTCTTTTTCTATCTTTTCTAAAAGCCTTGATGAACCTGATTCATAATCAAATCTCACTTGATGTATATTAGCCAATGTACGATAATAATAATTCAATAATGCATCATAGCATTTTTTATAATCTACTTCCCATAGATAAAATGTTCTTGAGGGAGCACGATCTGCTGATCTTGGAACTTCCTGGAGGAAAAGGAAAGAGATTAAGATTATTAAATCTTAAATTATAATTTTTCTTGTGAAAACCTTTATTAATTTACTTGTATTTGTACAAAGCCACCAGTCGTTAGTTCTGTCAACTTTTGTCGAACTTCCAAAGGATTCATTAAAGCTAAATTAATAATCTATAACGAAAAATTAATAACCGAATTATTATTATATATGTTTTGTTATTGTTGTAAAAACTCCATTTAAATGACAAGCAATTAACTGACCGCCTTTTCATCTAATTTGCCCTTTTCACATAATATTCTAACAATTCTCATTCCCTTAAACCCATATTTTTCCATAATAACATCCTCAAAAATTTCTTTTTTCAATGATTCACAAACTTCATGATATCGAATTGTATAATTTCCACCCGTATTTTCATCTTTCTTACGTAATATATTTGCATCATCATTTTCCATAAGATAATCTAAATATTGTTTGATTAATATTTCACGAGTTACTCCTCTTCTCGCACTTTGCATTTGCTGATTAAATAAATCAGTCTTTTCGACTGGGACACTCCTAATAATTCTTTGTGCTGATATTGCGCCTATAACCAGTTATAATTTAATTAATGATAATATATAAAGTATTTTCATTTTCAATAATTGGCTTCTTACGTGATTCGATGTCGCTTGGTTTTTCATCATCTGCGATGTCAAGGATAACTTTTGTTATAATACTTGCTGATTGATTAATACGAGTTTTAACAAATTCAACAATTTGCTAAAATAATTAACATAGAGATTTAATATTGTTTAACAATTAAATTAACAAATTAATACATTAAATGGATTGTTCCTACCCTATTTCTCGATTTAGCATTAAATTTGTCATAGTTCACCCGAAAAAATTGATTTTCCTAATGGTAAAACATTTTAGCCAAAGCAATAAAAATTTTTTTTTAAAACGATTAATAAACTTACATCAGCCGAATCATCTCCTTTTTGTTGCTGTAAAATTCAAAGGTATTAAAAAGTATTCATTTAATGTAATAACTCAAAATATGGTAAAATAATTATGTTCAAACCTTAGTAGGTCTTTCAATATTTTCAATATTTTCAAAATTAATTTTACGTTTCTAAAAATATATATATATATAAATTTTGTTTTTAAATAAGAGTTTAAATAAATTTTAATCCTCACCGATCCTGTCGAAACGTTGTCATCATCGGCTACAGCCGCGAGCTTAGCTTTCACTTCAGCCATTTGTTTTTTTGTAGGAATAAAGTTAGTGACTTTTGCTAATTCGCGTTGTTCAGCCTCTGATGCTTTATCCTGAGCAGACTTTGAATCTGTTATCTTTACAGTTGTAAGATAACGTTTTTCAACCATTTTATTAAACGTCTCTTTCAACTCTTTGTATTCTAAAAAGGAAGTGTATTAGCTTAGATAAAACGTATAAAATAAATTAATCTCTTTTATTTACTTACTATTTGTTCTTTTTGATATATTTCGATCTTCGATAAATCCTGTGAAGGTTCCTTTACCAGTTAACAGCATATAATGAGTTATTTCATCAGCCCCCTAATGAAGTAATTTAAATGAACTATTACATCTACTTGTATATACATATATAATCAATAGTATCAATTCAAACCCTATGCCTAGCCCATTCATTCGCATATTTTACATAAATTCCGAAATTAAGTCTCGCTAAGATCTCACTTTGTTCAATAGAATAATGAATCGAATTACGTGATCCCTCTCTAGTTTCAGCCCAATATACCAGATTGTGTTGAATTAGTACGAAGAGGCATTCGCGAGTTTTTGATAAATTTTGTTTTGAAAATTTAGATATGGATACTAATGGAAGTCGACCTTTCTGTAATAATACCTTGGCTACTTCCTATATAATACAGTTGTTATATATGTTATATAATAACATAAATATGCATAAATTTTAAGGTATTCGAAGTAACTATAAAATACCTCAATAATTGGACCAAAATCGTCCCGAATTATATAACAACATAAAAGCAAAAGCGGTTGAGCCATTATTCAAACTTTGTGATGGCAGAGCTATTTTTATTTTTTCAAGTATAAATCACGTGTAATCAGGGACATAAAAATGATGATAATTTTCAAAATTTTGGCCTGATTTAGGATTTGCAATTATCGTAATGCTGGTTGACATTAAGTTTGGCCAGAATTTGCGAACAGTAATGTTGGCTAACCTTGTATAATTCTGGCCAAATCACAGAATTTCATTGTTTTTACAACGTAGTTAAAATAATTATTTGATTTCAAAATATTTTTGATCTTTTTATACAATTAACATACTAAGCTATATATAATTATAAATGAATTTTTTGCTATGACTTCTACATACTTTCCTCGTTCATCTTTATCACTTTCAACAGCTCGAAAACTTTTATCTCGCGCAGCTGCAAACAAAAGGACAGGAGGACCACCGCCAGGAACACCTGGAGCAACAAATTATAACATTACTGATACACGTTACGAAGTAATTAAGCGTATCCTCTTTGAAACTCCTAAACCAGAATTACCAAACTTCACAGAAGAAGATCTTGAAAGACATGAAACTATTGAAAGAGCTTGGAAATTATTTTTACGTAATCAACGTGAAGCTAAAAGTGAAGAAATGTCAGCAAAATATAGAATGCTAAATGAAGCAAATATACAACTTGAACAAATAAGTAAATCTTTATTTGATGCGGCCCAACTTGGTAATAAGACTATGTTATTTCCCGGTCAATTAAAAATCCCTACAGAGACTCCTTCGTTAAGTGGATGGAATTATGATTACATTCCTCCCCCTGAACCTGATCCTTTATCTCAAATAAAGAAAATAGAAGAAAAAGTTTCGGAGGAAGCGAAAATTATAGAGTGAGTATTAATAAAAAAGATTAATTATTAGTTATTTGAGTTGTTACTAACTTAAAGTACATTCATGAATAGGACCGATCAAAATTAAAAAATTATTGATTTCGTGATCGTCATTTTGCATTTGGAAAAATTGGGAGAATTCCTATACGCGTTTTTATCATGATATTGAAACGTAAATATTCGTACATCACGGATTGTAACTTAATAAATAAATTAATTCATTCTGCACAACTAAAATTATAAGTTCAATACTTATTATTTGATTATTGATGTATCTCCTTGTTGCATGTATTGTATAATTTCGAACTTATCTAATTAAGATATTTATAAATACATTTCTAACAACGCTCTTGCGTCTTTTGCATTCAAATTAACATCCTTATTTCCTTGAAAAGCGATTTCCCATAATACCGGACAAACATCGGGTCTTATGGAATAGATTCCACTTACAACCTGTGTAGACCTAAAAATCATAAGCAAATACTTATGTCTTAGTGCTTTAACGTCGCCGGTCTAAGAAAAAAAAATTTAGATACTTATAATTTATGAAAGAGTTTATAAATACGAAATAAATAAATAAAAAATTATTTACTTTCATATTTACTCCCGTGATGCACATTCTTTCAGCCCATTCTCTCACTAATTTCATTCGTTCTACACAGCCTAAAGTTGTCAATTGGTTGGCAACCTCATCACTATAAAATTCTATAAATAGTTTTACAACTAATTCTTGAATACTTAATCTCCAAGGTGTAATATTGATCAAGTCAGTTATAACAGATCTCCATCTTTCAGAACAAAGTACACGAACTCGATGCGATTTGATGATTATAGTTACGACCGATTGATACATAGATTCGTACATTTCTAAATGCATAAAGTCATTTTCATTGCGTGGTAATGATGCATATATAAATGGTAAACATCGATGCACTGCAACTGGATCACCTTTATCAGTTCTTTCCACGATATACTGACAAAAGATCTATATATTATAAATTAAACAAGATGTTAAAAAAGATAGATAGATATAAATATATAATTATTACTTATATGAATACCTTTCTAGCAGGATCACTTTTCTTCAATAAATGGGTTTCCGCTTCGCCAAATGAAATCCAAGAAGGCGTAGGTGGTATTTCTTGGATATCAATTACATCTTGAGTTTTCTCTTTACGGGCTTTATTACTTTCTTTTGCTTCCCTTTGTCTATCATCAACCATCATGAATAATAAGTGTTTATAAAAGCCTTCATAGAATTCTTTTTCATCAAGATCTGGCAAATTGTAATTTTTACTAATTATCATTTGATATGCATTGGAACCGAAATGTAACATTGAAGTACACCATTTAAGAGTTGATGACATTTCCTTTTCTTTCTAATTTTTTTTTTGTTTTTTTAAATTAAAAATAAAAAATAAAGGTTTGTGAAAAAGAAACGCATTCCAAAATTGATTAAAATTAAGGGAAAAAATTAACCACCATGATCATCTGCATGTTACTATTGACAAGTCGCGATGGTAGTCTTTCTAATGATTTATCAACATATTTTCGTAAGATATCTACTATTCGAGCAGAAAAAACGCTCACGACAAGAGGATCTTGAAAAACCATCGCAAGTTCGCTGATGAAATTTATTAATTAGTAGAGTGAAATTTGAGATTTTTATAACGTTAATTTTAAAAATATAACTTACATGATGTCTGGGGATGCTGATTTTTTAGCTTTGTTGTACATGTTTATCAATTCATTAATACGGTTTGAATCAAATCCTTTTCTTATTCCGGAATTTACGTACCAAATAAAATTAAACGAATGATCACGTTTACACATCTATTTTTATAGATAAATAAATTAGTATCATTCAAATCATAATATTGATTCACTTTAAATGTGAATTTATAAATAATATATCTACTTGAATACGGTCCGCTTTTTGCATTCCCATGAAAAAATCGAAGCGAAATGAACAAATTCTAGACCATCCATTGTCAAAAAACCAAATTCTGATGAGATTTTGCATTTCATCAAACAATATGTTGTTTTCACCAATCATATTTATGATGTCTTGAAGACCTTTATTATTCATTCTAAAAATTATTTAAATGTAACAATTAAATATTATAATAAAAACTGGAGATATAACTCTAATATACAACAAACCTAAAGTCTAAAACATCGTTTATGTTAGTTCCTCTCATTTCTCTGCTGAGAAAATACAAACTTTGATCTTTCAAATATTCTTCGAAAAGTGGGGTTACATAAAGTCGGAATAATGATTTATCACGAGCGAATAATTCTCTTTTAATACTTATTGGTGCCTCCTATTTCTTTGACAATGTAAAAAATAAATAAATAATGTCAAAAGCAAACTTGACCAAAATCTAGGAGATAAATAATTGCCTTACATCTACAATGTTCGGATCGTTCACTAGCCAATCATACATATCAGAAGATATCCGGTCATGATATTTAACGCAAGCAGCTAATACAGCCTTTCGCATTTCCTTCATAAACATAAACTGTGAAGCAGCATTTATAAAATCATTAAATCTAAAATGTAAACAGTTTAAGTTAAATAACTTTCATTATTGGATTAATGCTCATTCTATTTAAATTACATACTTTTCAACACTCCAAGTCTCTTTATTAATCATTCCCACAAAAGATTCGCCTAATTCTTCCACAAGAGCCTTATTAGCTTCATATCTTGACAAACCACTATGGTCAAGTAAAGGACGTACATTCTAAGTTGTAAAAGAGTATTTAAGCTTTCTTGCTTATTAAAGAAAACTGTAATAACAATAATAATAATAACCTCGATGTCTGGTATATCAATTTGAGCCAAATATTGAACGTCTTGGATTCCTGTTGTTAGATTATCGGAACCTGCTAAGACTGATGCTATTCCAGACATGGATTTTCGACCCAGCGAAAGGTCATTAGCATCTGGTACAGGATTTCGGTACTGGTGTGACATCGAAAAAGTAAATCCACTGAATTTCTAGGACTTGGACGCGTCAAGATCAAAGTTACAAATCTTGGAAACAAACAGTTTTAAAAACATAAATCACGTGAATTTTATTGATCTTGATGCGTAACAATAATTAATTATCGTAGTAAAGATTTCTGAGGGTGTTTTATTCCTAATTGGGAAAATCATAAGACGATAAAATTGTCATTCCCGAATTCGCTGATTCGTTAATTCGTTAAAATTTGGTCGACATGGATCATCAAAACACTTGCAACAAATACTCTCTTTTGGTCCGATCTACTGCTCTGTGTTAGGAAAAAATATCCTTCTGATATTACATTCCTTAGTCTTCAGAGTAAGTAGTT